ATAAAATAAGTGCTAGCCTCTACCAGCATGCATTTGTTTTGCTTGTTTTTGTACTTTATATAAATGAGATCACACAGTATGTAAAAAATAGCTTTTTAGCAGATTCTCAGATTCCTTGATACATTGAGAACCACTGAGACACATGGAGAGAGAGCCAGTGATGGACATGTTTGCCAGTAGTTATGCATCACAGTCTTGGTCTGGGAATAAGTGACTGATTTTAGAAGAGAAATAATGGTTACCTGGACAGAAATAGGTGTAGGATGGGACAAGTAATTCACTCAGCCAGCACTCACAGCCACATGCTCTGAGTCTTGAGTCTCTGTTCCCCATTGCTACCCTCTGTAATTTGATTTCCCGAGAGATGAGGCCCAGAAAAATAAAACAAAAGAAAAAACCCACTAAGTCACACCTAGAGAAACTTATCCTTCTCTATGAACCAACACCCCAGTATTTGGGTTTTTACTTAGCTTTTCACAAGTTTGGTTATTGGGAGTCAGAGCCCTAGAGGATGATCAACCCCAGATGCAGTGATAAAACAGAATTTCTAAATCTAGTTGTTAACAATTATGTAGCTACACGTAGAGTCTATGTTAAGCATTTTATATGTTACATAATTTATATACAAACACACCAACCTGATAGGAAGCTAGTTATTATTAAGATATTTTATAAATGAGGAAACAGTTTAAACAATTTGCCTATTCCCTAACCGGTTTGGCCCAGTGGATAGAGTGTTGGCCTGCGGATTCAAGGGTCCCAGGTTCGATTCCGGTCAAGGGCATATACCTTGGTTGCGGGCACATACCCAGTAGGGAGTGTGCAGGAGGCAGCTGATCGATGTTTCTCTCTCATCAATGTTTCTAATTCTCTATCCTTCTCCCTTTCTGTAAAAAATCAATAAAATATATTTTTAAAAAATAAAAATAAACAACTTGCCTTAGACTGCATTCTGCCCATATCATACAGCTAGTTAGAGGCCGACTGAGAGTCACATACAGGTTCATTCATTCATTTCCACTCGATGAGTTTTTAATCACTAAACTTTGGTACCTTCCACAGAGCTTGAGATCAAAGTCTGTTGCGACGGTGAAGATATGCTTGAGTAGTCAGCTGGATTCCTTATCCCTGCCTTCATCTATCCCTCCATCCAGCCACCCATCCATTCCTTCAATCATCTTCCAATCAACCAACTGTCCATCTGCTATGGTCTGAATATTTGTGTCCCTCCAAAATTTATTTGTTGAAATCCTAACCCCTAAGGTGATAGTATTAGGAGGTGGGGCATATGGGAGGTGATTAGGTAATGAAGACGGGACCCTCTTGATTGAGATTAATACCTTTTAAAAAATATATATATTTTTTATTGATTTCAGAGAGGAAGGGAGAAAGATAGAAACATAAAGGTTGAGAGAGTATTATCAATCGACTGCCTTCTGCATGTTCCTTCTGGGGATCAAGCCTACAACCTGGGCATGTGCCCTGACTGGGAATTGAACCATAGATCCTGGTTCATAGGTTGACACTCAAACACTGAGCCACACCAGCTGGGCAGGATTCAGACTCTTTTTTTAAAAATATATTTTTATTCATTTCAGAGAAGAAGCGGGAGAGAGAGAGAGAAACATCAGTAATGAGTGAGAAGGATTCAGACTTTTAATGTCTGCACCTTCAGCACTTCCTCTCTAGTGAAAGGATTTCATAGGGTGTGACCTTGTTGTGAGCAATGGGGCATTTTATTTCAAATGAAGCTTTCCTGGGAAGTCCACTGTGTGGGAGATGAAGTAGGACTTCCTAAGGTCAAGGCAGGGTGGAAACGTTTCCAAAACCCCCACCCCCACTTCCACGCCCATCCTCCTGTGGAGCTTCCAAGAAAGCTCCCTTGCCCCTTTTTGCCATGTGAGTATACAAAGAGAAGCCTGCAGCCTGGAAAAAGGCGTTCATTTCACCATGCTGGTGACATGATCTTGCACTTCCAGCCTGCAGAACTGTAAGAAATAAATTTCTGTTGTTACTAAGCCATCAAATATGTGGTATTTTGTTCTAGCACTCTGAGGAGACCAAGACACCATCCATCCAGTCACCCATCCAGTCCTCCAGCCAGCCACAAATACCATGGAGCTCTCCATTCCACAAATACCAAGGGCCTTCTCTATGCTGATTTTATGCCAGGAGGAAGCTGAATACAGAAGTGACCAGAATACAACAAAACTTATGAAAGCTGGGTTTTCACTGGATTTAGAATTCCTTGAGGATAGTATCTCTAGTTTTTGTATCTGTAAAGCGTAAAATATGATTGGCTCCTGTCTTCCTTTTCAATCTTACCCACTTATTCAATTATACTGGTCTCCTTTCCATTTCTGGAATAAGACCTCTTTTGCCTCAAGACTTTTGCAATTGCTGTTCCTTTTGACCCAAATATCCATCAAGCAATGCTAATAGCTGGCTCCTTCTTATCCTTTGCAACCTAAGTAAATGTCTTGTCCTCAGAGAGGCCTTTTCTGACCACTTTATCTAAAGCAGATGCTCTCTTCCCCCTCCCCAGCTACTCCCTATCACCTCACCCTGTTTATTTCTTCTAAGGCATTGGTCACAGTCTTGTTTATTGTTTATTTTCTAACTTCCTAACCAGAAACAAGTCGAGGGAGGCCAGGTACTAAATCTTTCATGTTTGTGTTTTTGTGCTTTTTTTCCCTGCATGACTTCTGCCTTCCTAGCCCAGTAACAGACACATAGTAGTAGGCCTTCAATATTTATTTGTTGAATAAATGAATGAAAAAAGTTCATGACCATATAAACAGACCTTGAAAGATAGCGTAGGAACAGAGAGGGCCTTGAAAGACAAGCAGAAGAGGGTACACTTGATGGGAACATAGGAAGCTAGTAGAAGTTCTTGAGTTGCAGAATGAAAAATGACTTAGGGGGGGTAACTTGGTATGCCACAATCTGCCATAAATCCTTAATTTAAGTAATTCACTGCAGTGTCTTGTAATGAATCACTACAAGACGTAATTAGGATCTAGGACCTGAGCTGTATTTTTCTCCCTGTGTTTAATTAATTGATAATGGTGATCTATAAATGATCATAGTGAAGACCCTATAAGGTGGGATCCACGTCTATTTACTGCAGTCAGGCCTGCAGGAGATAAATTATTTGTTCAGTTACTGAGTGAAACAATCATGCACTTAGAAAGACCTGGGTTAGATAGGATTTGCTACTAGCCATCTGTGTAACCCTTAAGAAGATCCTTAACCTGGCTAAGGTCAGTTTATCTGTAAAGAGAAAGAAGACTTAGCTCAGGCATTTAAATGAAAGCTTATGAGAAAATCTGAGGCACAGGGTAGACCTCGGTAAATTCATTTCCTTCTGTTACTCTGGAGATGCTGAACCTACCCTGAAAGGGATTTCCTACTGGCCTTTTCCCAACAGTCTGTGGCTTGAAATAGAGCATATGGTGATATTTACTTTTTGCTATTTTCAGTCTTTCCCGTGTAAAGCTGGAATTGTGACTCTGCAACTTAACTAGCTGAGTGACTTTAAGCACCTCAATTTCTTTATAAAATAGGTATAATAGTACCTGTTTCATAGGAATATTGTAAGGATTACATGAGATGGTACACTGAGTGTCTGTACTAGAGCCTGGTACATAGAAGGTTCTCAAATGTTAGCTGTAATCCTTTAGGACTTTATTTTACTCTCCTTAATGCTGGCAACTTTTCTCCTCTTCCTTTTGTAGGTATTATCAATGCCTACAATCTCTTCTGGGGAGAATGTTGACTCTGAAATGCAATGTGGGAGAAATGGATTCAGTAGCTTCTTCCAGACATCCAAACCAAGAGCCTTAAAGTAAGAATAGAGTAGTAGGAGCATTATGACACTGAAGAGAGACTTTTAGTAACGGTGGCATAGGAGAGGACAGGAAAGAAAAAACGCTTAAGGAACCAGACACACCCATTTTCTAGTGATTTTAGAAGAACAAGCAGTATTAGCGTGGGAGCCTCAAAGACTGATTTCTGGAACTTTCATTAGCTTCATCTATTGTGCTTTTCATTAGCATTTTCCTAGAAAGTGAAGTCAAGGAAAACATTCCTGGGGTGGGGCTGGAGTAGCTACCAGGCGGTTATAGAGACTGTTTTGCATATCATTTTTTCTCCAGCACCTAGCACAGTACCTAGCGTACCAGGGACTCAAAAGTGTAGAATTATTTTCAAACTTTAGTTGTTTTTCCCAAGGAAACTTGTCGTGCCCACAAGCGGCCGCAAGCAGGTCCGCGCCTAGAAATAACATTTATTCTAAAGACCACTGCGCAGGGATTCTTGGGAAGCACTCCCCCTCCCTCATTCGCTTGTTTCTCCTCCCCTAAGTTGCCTTTGAAAGAACTGGCACGCCACGTGATCCCCTCCTTTCTCTCCCCCCCGCCCCGCCCCTCCAAGCCTGGCTGATAACGGGCAAGAGCGTAGGCCAACCATAAAATTCTATTTCCTCTTGTAGCCAATAGTAAGAAGCGATAAGTATATGGCTCAGTTTTTTTTACTTTCCCCGCCCACTTTGAGCCCGCCCCTCCACTCCCATTGGGCATTTGACAACTCACCCGGCCAATGAGAAGTTCCTACTCTACATGGGAGGGATGGACTGATTAGATAATAGACGTCCGGCTCTGGCCAATGGCATATCACAAGTGAGGGAGGAGTGGAGGACGGGACCAATGGCGCGGTGCCAATAACGAGCATCAGTGGAAGGGCGGGACGAAACTGTTCGCGGGAGGGAGGGGAAGGCCCAGGGAACCAAGCAGCGCTGCCGCCACCGCCGCTGCAACCGGAGTTGGAGGAGGGAGAAGGCCGTTAGGGCCACGGGCTTTTTCGTCCCACGGAGAATACCTCTCGGGGCAGCTTTCACTCTGCCAGACAGCGAGACATGGGCCCCGGAGCGTTCTGTGTGAGGAGTGTCAGGACACGGGTTATTGAGAAAGGAATCGGCGTCCTCAGCTCCGGCCGCGGAAATGTGGAAGCCGAGGGGGTCCCCAGGTGGCGAGGACTTTTATGGCGAATGCTCGCCGTTGGAGCATCAGCCCTCAGCTCCTCTTCCCTGGTGGAGGGATGGGCCTCAGATTGTTATCAAGAGCAACGCCCGCACTATTACACTCGTCGTGTCGTTCCGCCTGGGGGAGAAGCTCTTCTCCGGGGTCCTCATGGATCTGTCCAAAAGGTACCGCGCCCATCCCCAGCACGCCCTTGGGGCGCCCGGGTCTGCTCGGTCCCCCGGGAGGAAGGGAGGGAGCCGGGGCGACCCCTTCACCCTTGCCTGCCGGCGCCCCGCTGCCCGCACCGCCCTCGGATCCCGCGTGGCGCGCGCTCCGAGTGGGGCAGGCGCGCGAGGCTAGGAGAGGGCGGTCCCTGCCCCAGGTGAGCGCCTGCCAGGGCAGGTGTGCCACCAGGTGGGGGGCTCAGGGTGCGGATGGGTCTGCAGATCCTACCCACCACCCCCAGCCTCCATTCGCGCGGCTCAGCCACTCTAGGGCGGGGGGCTGCGTTCATGAAAAATGCGAAGGGCTTTTGCGGAGAACCGGGTGCTGGGCCGCGGAGATTGCTCGGGAGGCACTTCTGCTCGCCAATTAGCCTGTAACTTTGATCAGGGTGGAGGAAGGGGTGTGCGCATAGGGATTCCCAGAAGGTTAACTGTCACTCCCTATGGGGGAAGAGGATGCATTTAAAATGAGCCGCTTGACGGTTATTCTTACAGTTAGAACTAATTCTCCTTAGATAATTGTTCCGCAGGAAACACATTTGGCTCATTATGATGATGGTGTTAAGGAAAGTCTAAAGAAGAGATTGGGTTTTTTAAAAACCTTGAATATCAAGGTGGTGTGATATGTGTTCGCATACGGACTTCTAATACTGTAGACATAGTTTACGTATTAAACAAGCCCACCCACAAGTCTCTGTCTTATCCAGCACATTTTCTTCTTTTGATTTAAAATATTTATGAGCATTGCTTTTAAGTAGGTAAAGAAGACAGTCTAGAGTTAAGTTAACCTTTTTACTCTTTTGCAGATATGAAGTGCAGACTCCCATTCACGGCTCTCCATTCTGTTTCCTGCAACAGCACACACACTGATGGTACCTCACCTGTTTGGAAATGGCTTATTTTAGCATGTTTTACTTTTAACTCCTTGGCCCTCCCATTAAGGTGCAAGAGTCCTTTCCCATTTGGGGGAGAAAATCTATTTAAAGTACATTTCGAAGTATGATGTTTGGAGTGAAAAACGTGTAGCCTTTACAGTTATTTTGGCGAAAAATGGGGAGTCTTTACAGTTATTTCTGCACGTTGTTTAGTCTCAAGTTTTTTAAGTTTCTTTTTTTGTAATTTTGACTTTAGGACTTTTGCACTTTGGTTTTCATAGTTAGGAAGCAAAATAAGACTAGTGTGTTTTCTGATGTATTTAATAGCAAAAGAGAGACTCAGTAGTGTGTATGCTATTGAATCAAACAGAAGTGAAGGCCGGTGATTGTGTGAGAATCTGGATTTCAAATCTGCAAAAGGAAGGTGTGAAAAGGTAAGTTGTTTCTGGAAATGGAATGGATAGTGCTTTCCTTTTTTTTAGGTGCTCATATTTTACTTTTTAAAATTTCTTTGGTAGAGAATTGCAATTTATTTTTAGAGTTTTGGTGTATTTTGCTAATTAGTGCCTCTTATAAGCAGCAGTTTCTTTTGTTGGGGAAGCTCTTTTTATTATTAACCTTTTACACTTTAACATTTTTGAAGTGAAAATGTCAAAGGATAATCTTTTTTTAAATATATTTTATTGATTTTTTACAGAGAGGAAGGGAGAGAGATAGAGAGTCAGAAACATCGATGAAAGAGAACCATCGATCAGTCGCCTCCTGCACACCCCCCACTGGGGATGTGCCCGCAACCCAGGCACATCCCCTTGACCGGAACCGAACCTGGGACCCTTCACTCCTCAGGCCGATGTTCTATCCACTGAGCCAAACCGGTCCCGGCTGGACTAGGTTTTTTTATATTGAAAAGATGAGAC